CCTATGAATTCTATTTCTAAGTCTTGATCCTATAGAAATAAACTTCAAATTCTGTGCAAGGATATTCATGTCAGCAATATTTGTAACAGGAACAAACGGGAGAAACCTAAATATCCATCAATAAGTTAATGTTTAAATATAAAGTATTTTAGATCTGTAATATGAAATACTATGCAAGTGTTAAAAAAGAATGAAGGAATCCTAAATGTACTGACATTGAAGGATGTCCACGATATGTTATGGAGTGGGACAGGAGAAGTAGCAAAACAATGTAGAACTTAATTACATTTTTACAAAGGACTATGTTGCATGTGTTAATGTACACATGTGTGCATGTGTGCTTGCACATGCATAGAAAATAGACTGGAAAGATATTTATCAATCTCCCCCTGGGGAGTAGGAGTGGGAGAATAGAGTCAGGGGAAGAAATTTTCACTTTTTACTTTATATTTCAGATTTTTAAAAAACTTTTACAATATAAAACGTTTATTCTGTCTTTAAAATAAAGGGAAACATACAGTTTGACTTAAGTGTATTTAAAATTTTTTCTGATTTTAAAACTAACACTTGTGGTTTTAAAATGTATCTTCAAATTCTTTGACATTTCTACATTCAAACGGTGCAAACTAATTCTCCTCTGTTTGAGTGAGGGCCAGACTTAGTGACTCATTTCTAAATGATCCCTTTTTTCTCTCTCTCTCTCTCTGTGTCTCTGATTGCTTGCTTTCGGGGCCAGTCACTCCATGACTTGAGGACATTTAAGCAGCTCTCAGGAAAGGACCATGTGGAGAAGAACTGAGGCCTCCTGCCGACAACCAATACCAGCTTGCCAGCCAGATCCTCCAGCCCCGGTCAAGCCTTCAGGTGACTGTAGCCCCTGCTGACATCTGACTATACTATATGAGAAACCCTGAGCCAGAACCCTCAGCCAAACCACACCCAAATTCCTGGCCCACAGAAAAGGTAAGAAATAATAAATGTTTATTGTTGTTTTGTGCCACTAAACTTTGGGGTAATTTGTTCAACAGCAATAGATAACTAATACCTGTAGCACTCTCCCTCTGGAGAGTAGAAGTGGGAAAATGGAGTTTTTTTACTTTGTACATTTTTACTTTATACATTTCAGGATTGTCTGGATTTTTTTACTCTTTTATATCTAGAGAAAAGGAAAGAAATAAAGATAGGCTTAAGCATATTTTTAACTTTTTTTTCTGATTTTAAGAGTAACACTAAGTGAAAAAGGAAAGAGTTGGAAGACTGACACCACGCAACTTCAAGACTTACTATACAACCACAGTAATCGAGACAGTGTGGTATTGGAGAAAGAATAGACAAACAGATCAATGGAACAGAATAGAGAGCCCAAAAACAGACCCACACAAATGCAGACAACTGATCTTTGACAAAGGAGGAAAGGCAATTCAATAAAGACAGCACAGTCATTTCAACAAATGGTGCTGGAACAACTAGACATCCACATGGAGGAAAAAAATTAACCTAGACACTCTACAATTTTTCACAAAAATAAACTCAAAATGGATCATAGACCTAAATGTAAAACACAAACGTACAGGCTTACTTTGTTTTATTGCGCTTCTAAGATATATATTTTTTATAAGACCCTTCACCAGCAAAAAGATTACAACTCTGAAGACTCAGATGATGGTTAGCACTTTTTATCAACAAAGTATTTTTTAATTAAGATATGTACATTTTTTTGACATAACGCTATTGCACATTTAACAGACTACAGCAGAGTATAAACATAACTTGTAGATGAACTGGAAACCAAAAAATTTGTGCAACTTGCTTTATTGGGATATTCACCTTATTGCAGTGGTCTAGAACCAAACCCACAATATCTCTGAGCTACGCCTGTAAAAAACTTCTAGAAGATAACACAGGAAAAATCTAGGCGACCTTTGGTTTAGTAATGGGTTTTTAGGTACAACACCAAAAGCATGATCCATGAAAGAAAAAAATTGCTAAGTTAGACTTCATTACAATCAAAACGTCTGCCCTGCATAAGACACCTTTAAAAGAACGAAAAGGCAAACCACAGACTGGGAGAAAATATTTGCAAAACATATATGTGATAAAGGGCTTGTATCCAAAACATACAAAGAATTCTTAAGACTCATCAATAAGAAAACAACCCAATTAAAAATGAGCACCTCTATAGAATGGAATATTATTCAGGGATAAAAAGAAAGGAGCTATCAAGCCATGAAAAGACATGGAGGAACCTTAAATGCATATTACTAAGTAAAAGAAGCCAGTCGGAAAAGACTACGTAGCGTATGATTCTAACTCTATGATATTCTGGAAAAGGCAAAACTATAGAGACAGTAAAAAGATCAGTGGTTGCCAGGAGTTCAAGGTTGGGGGAGGGCAGGACTAGGTGGAGCACGGGGATTTTAAGATATTAACACTGTTATGTATGAGACTGTAATGGTAGATACATGTCATTATATATTTGTCAAAACCCATAGAATATACAACACGAAGGTTAATCCTAATCTAAACTATGGACTTCAGTTAATATTACTGTGTCACTCTCAGCCCATCAGTCGTAAGAAAGGTACCACGTGAATGCAAGATGGTAATAACAGAGAAAACAGCAGTGGGGAAAGGAGAGAGGAAGCATACAGGGACGTCTGTACTCTCTGCTCGGTTTTCCGCAAACCTAAAACTGCTCTAAGAACTAAAGTCTATTAATTTTTTTAAAAACACAACATTAATCAATTGAAGGAAAAATAGAAATGAAATAATACAGCCACCCATAATCTCAGCAGAAAGACAATCCCTATTAACACTTAGCATAGTTCCTTCCAGTCTTTTTTCAAATGTCTACGTGTATGTCATTTTTTAAGAGTTGAAGTCATTCTGCTAAATCCATTCTGAAGGCTTATGGTCTAGTTTTAGTTTGGATTTTGAACCTCAAAGAAAATAGCCCATATAAAACATCAGTGATACCAAAAACAGATTCTGGAGGGGCCAGTTGCTATGGGGATGATTGAAAATAAATTTCATTTCACACTACACCCTGCTAATGTACTGACCAGAAGGAAAGAGAAATATTTGGAGTAACTTAGAAGAACTGCCAAGAAAAGTTCCCATCAAGGAGGAAAATACATCAGCCCAGTGAGATTTCAAAGAGGCCAGCAGCATCGGCCTGCAATTTAACTAATTACGCCCTTTCGGCAGCCATATAGGTGGAGGGGGAGAGCACCCAGGAATTGGAGAGTGGAGCAGACTCTCTCTCTCACGGACAGTTTGATGGCCAAACAGCCAGCAGGACTCCCACAGGATGTGGGCCATCTCTACAGGGTGGTGCAAGGTGAGGAAAAAATAGTCACCCCTTCCCTTCAATGGAGATGCCCCAAATATTTAGCAAGCTGCAAGGCCCAGGCTTCAAGCGACCAGTTGGAACACTGCATTGGCCCTTAGCATTGCAGTAGGTCCTGGGCCCCTTCTGTCCCGGGTTAACCCTTTAGAGGCTGGATCATGGGACAATCTGGACGTTCTAGAGGAGGGACCAGGATGCCAGAGGGTGGGGCAGTCGGGGAGCTGAGGGGAGTCACTATTTTCCAACAGAAGAATTGTGATACTTGAAGACGTGAAAAGGCCAGATCAGTGTGCACCAAGAGAACTCTGACCTTCCTTCAGCCAACGTTTTTATGAAAGACAAGCCTTTATGGAACACACAGCAGGGGCAGCCTTGAAAGGGAAAGGCAGAGCCGCTATCACAAAAAGACCACTGGTCGTGTGAAGACAGGCCCAGCTTCCCACCACAGGAAACAGCTCAGCTTCAGAGTCAAATAAATCTAATCCCCTTCCCAGCTCTGCCATGTATTGTCATGAATTATGTAATCTCTGAGCCCCAGTTTCCTCGTCTACAAAATGGGTATAATTGCTCCTCCCTCCTGAGGTTACAATATGGATGACATGACCCAAGCCATGGGAGGTGCTGAGCAAAACCCCCGGCACTCAGCAGGTGCTCAGTCCAATGCAGTGGCCACCTCCACACCACCGTTAGAGATGATTGTCTCTGCTGCAGTTTTCTTTTTCTTTTTTCTTTTTTTTTAAACACACCAGTGGCCCCATCTCCCTTTCCCTGTCCATATTCCAATGTACATGCCTGGTCACTATTGCCATATAATGACCGAGTCCCTGACGTGTGAAATATTGGTTACCCTTTTCTGCAGCATCCTAGGGAAAGTTCTGTACTCTGGAGAGAAACAAAGCCTTCTGATGCCAAACCAACCCAAACCACAAAGCCATGAAGTTATGGATGCTCTGGGTAACAGCTTCTCACTCAGAGCACAAGGATCTAGGATTGCAGTTGCCAAGCATCCCCAGGGCTGAGGAAAAGCCCAGGTTCAACAGAGATGGATTGATTACAAATACAGGATACCATTTCCAAATGGTGCAAACCTGGCTGTTTATTTTCCTTCTTTAAACTTAGTTAATGGATTCATATGTTTATTTTGAAAAAAAATTTTAATATAGAAAACTATATATCAAAACTATATCTGTCCTCGTCTCCCAGAAATGATCACTGTTAACATTTGTTATATTTGCATCAAGTCCTTTCAAAAAAGAGAGAGAAAATATGACCAATGAAATTAAATCTATTTTCCTCCTCACTCCCAAATCTATTTCTTGCCCACTCCCCTAATCACCTAATATAAGATCAATTATAAATTTGATCTTTTGTATCCAGTTCTGTCTTATTCTTTGTTTTATCTAAATTTTCCAGTTTTTTTTAAATAGAAAGAAAACAAAAAGAAACAGGGAAATGTGCTAAGTGGCAATGTCTATGTGAAGAGGGGCCTTTGGCCTCTCACCAAGATGCCCCCACTCACTTCTCCAGGAACAGCCCACACTAATTATAGGGAAAGCCTATCGGGGCATAGTCTGGCAAACTCACACCTATAAACATCTAGAAAGCAGGGCAGACCCCCATAAGGCCATCTGCTGAACTCCAAAAGGCTTACCTGGGTCCAGGTGTGTGAAGGAGCCCACCACAAAGTCCAGTGTGGACACAGCCAGCAGGAACAGCAGCAGCAGCTGGAGGCGGATTATCCACTTGACACCTGCCAGGTTGATCCCCAGCAAGGCCAGAAGCACCACCACTGAAATTCCTCGAACAGCCCAGATATTCCTGAGGGTCAGCAAATCTGAGATGGATTCAGCGAAGCCGGTGATGTACATGGCACCTGCAACACACTGAGAGGCCGTCCTGGGTAGGAAGAGTCAGCAAGAGAAAAAAGCGTCAGGAGCCGGTGGCCAGAGCTGCCGGCACTGAGGACGTGGCTTGGCCCTCTCAGGGCTCAGCACCTGGGAGACAGCCTGGGGTTAAGTTAAATGGGCCCTTCCCACCTGGGAACCCTGCCTCCCACCCCATTTCTTCTGGTCTGCATCTCTACCTTCATGCAGAGGGGAGAATGAATGCCCAGCTAGCTGACTGTCAGTGGGAACTAAGATGAAAAGATCACAGGAGGAAGAAGATGGGACTCTGGGCCAAAGATGCCCTTGGACTTCTCTGTCTGAGTTATTCAAGAACTAAATAGAGAATAAAAACACACAAGGGTTCCCATCCCAGAGCCACAGAAGGGCACTGAAGCAAACCCCAGTTTTTTCTCCATTTCTTTGTAGGTCAGTATTATTTTAGAAATTATCTAAAACTTGGAAGTTAGAAAAAAAGTGGGCAGCACATCCTTTTAATGTCATATAGAACAAAGGCTACCCAAGGACCATGTAGGTGAATGTCTTAGTTCTACTCACCATTTACTATGGATTAAAAGTATTAAACATCCCAGACTTAGTGAAGTTGCATGTTAACTTATGGATTTTCTTCCAGCAGAGATGCAAATAACTTCTGTCCAGTGGAACAGATAACCCAAAAGATTCGGATTTGTTGTCCTGTAAGACATCACCCAGTTTTGCATCTAACCCAACAATCTTATCCTTACATCTGTTTATTAAATTGCTTAACCAAGAATTTATGGATTTGATCTGTATCCATCCAGTATCCATTCCTAGCTTCTCAACTGCTCTTCAACATCTTCCTGGCTCCTCCATTAATCAATGATGTAAATAAAATTGTTGGCACGTGTTTATATTTGCACGAGAGGCATGATTTTACCTTTTTAAAAACATTTGAAACAATTTCAAATAAATACTTGAAAATAACCCAGGCCTCACTTTCCATGATTCTTCAGCCCCCCTTCTCTCATGAAGTTTGTTCCTTTACCATCCCCAAGGCCAGCGGGTCCCTCCCATCACTGTCGCTCTGCCTGTGCGGCTCTCCCAGGGCACAAATTCTACTCGGGCCTCTGTCAAGTTCCTCCTTTTCCATGAAGCCTCTCCTCATCTTCCTCTTCCGAACAAATATTATGCTTACTGTCAGTGCCAAGCGACTAATTACCTGGTGCCATATTCTATTATTTCATGCACATGATTGTCTCCCTACCACGACCAAGAATGTAAACATCTTAAAAAACAAACTTTTTATGCTGATTGCACCTCTTAAAATCCCCTGCATTTGTTAAGCATGTTGCAAGCATTCAATAAATACTTTGTGATATGTTGACGGTATGAAAAGTGCTCCAGGAAGCAGGCACCATTAAGTTCCAGCCCTTTTCTGTAAAGACCAAAAGGATGGCACAATTTCTGTATCTGAGGGGAGCTCATGAAGGGGGGCCCATTCTTCACTGGGATCGACTCACTTTGCAACTAGATATAACATCATGTTCCCCAAATTTACACTAGGCATTCCTGTCTATATTTGGGTAAAGGAGAAGCCCAATACATGTGAGGGAAATACCACCATCTCTGAGAGGGAGATGAGAGAGAGAGAGGGAGAAATAAACCCATGTTTTCCTGCATTCACCTCAGAACTCAAACTTACTCTTGACTAAATACCAAGAGTGTGATGGTGATAATGATGCTATTTCATCAGTGTTTGGCCAGATCAACAGGACTCTCCACGGGCAGATATATCAGAGTTTAAAAAACAAATGATAAGGGGCAGCCCTGTGGCATAATGGTTAAGTTTGGCTCATCCCACTTTCGCAGTCCAGGCCCATGGGTTCAGATCCTGGCGTGCCATGTTAATGAAGTATGTTAATGAAGTGACTTTTGAAAGCGCCTAAGGATCGGGGCTGGGAGAATCAACCATGAGTACAGGGTTGGAACTTTCAGTCCCATCCTGTGATTTCTTGGGAGGGGAGAGGGGCTGGAGGCTGAGTCAATCACCAATGGGCAATGATTTAATCAATCATGCCTTTGCAATGAAGCCTCCATAAAAACCCAAAAGGAGAACTTCCACATGCCACTGTGCCAGGACCCCAAACTCCAGGAGGACAGAAGCTCCTTTGTTGAGGAACACACCCTATGCATCTGTTCATCTGACTGCTGATTTGTACCCTTTAATATCCTTTGCAACAAAGCAACAATCTCGTGAGTAAACTGGTTTCCTGAGTTCTGTGAGCTGTTCTAGCAAATTAATAGCAGCCAAGGAGGGGGTCACGGGAAGCTCTGATTTATAGCCAGTTGGTTAGAAGTAGAGGTGACAACCTGGACTCGCAATTGGCATCTGAATTAGAGGACAGGCTCGTGGGACTGAGCCCTCAATCTGTGGGATCTGACGCGTTCTCCAGGTAGATCGTGTCAGAACTGAGTTGAATGGTAGGACACCCAACTGGTGTCGGAGAACTGCTTGGTGGCATGGGGGGGACACCCTCCCCACACACGGGAGTTGGGTGCAGAACCCTTTTAGGAGGGAAACCAACTTTTTCTTTACATTCTCTCTGATGTGTTAACCGGTTACAATGAATATCCTTTTGTAATTTTAAAAGAATTTTATAAAGGAAAAACAACGACAACAAAAACATATTAAGAGTATTATTCTGTTTATGCAAAAACTACATTTGGGTGCATGTAACCCCCTGCGTCTAGGACTTGAGGCCTCCCCCACACTCTGCTCACTGCTGGCGAACTCAGGACTGGCCTGAGCTCTGGCCTGGGGTGTGGACACCAGCGACTGCTAGCCCTTCCCCAGGGCAATCCAACCGCCCCACAGTGGTCTACCTCCCAACCATGAACACCACTCTTTGGTGGAAAACATCCCAGTCATTTGTTTAATGTATAAATATGTCCAGAGTTTATTATATTTTAAAAGTATTTTATCTCCTCTTAAAGTTTATAATCACGGGCATCCTTTTCCCTTTTCATTCTCTACAGAGAAACTTCTAACCCCCCGCCACAGGAAGCAGGGGGTACCACTCACCACTTTAAAGAGAGAAGGGCACCTATTTTCAGGGCGTAATGACTCCATTTTAAGGTATTTGTTTTAGAAAAATTGCACTTTCACAATTATAGGCATTTTTCTTTTCATCTCTGGGTACCTACCTAGAAACCAGAGCTGCCTGTACATGCCTCTCCTGACACGAAATCCCTGGTTTAAGGTTCAAGTTAGTTGATTGTATGTCCTGCCTACGTGTTAATTCCCATAACAAAACCCCCAGGCCTATATCGGGTCTATAAAAATCCTCCATTGTTTCTTCATAGAGCCCAGTACGTGCACATGGCCATTAATAAATGCTTTTAGCAATGCTATTGCAGGCTGAAGCTGGATATTTTGGTGTCCAGGGTGAGGAGCCCCAAATAAGCCCTCAGACCTACAGAGGTCAGTGGGGCGGGGAGTAGGGAGGGGCCTCAGTCCATCGTCAACTCCCCTGGCCAAAGGGTCTGGCACCACACAGCAGACCTGCCACCAGCACCTCAGAGAGATGAGTGGGGAAGGCTTTTGGAGGATGCAGGGCAATGAAAAGATTTTGCAAGCTTTAAAAATATTATTTTAAGTGCGTATACTTTCTGAATTTTGACGCTCTAGAGGAAGGGTTGGCAAACTTTGGCCTCCTGGCTAAATCCTGCTCACTGTATGTTTTGGGAATAAAGTTTTATTGGAACACAGCTATGCCCATTTTTTCTATTGTCTGTGGCTGCTTTTGCACTACCAAGAGCAGAACTGAGCAGTTGTGACAGAGATGTATGACTTGCAAAAACTAAAATATTTACTATTTGGCTCTTTACAGAAGTTTGCTGACCCCCTGCTCTGGGGCAAACCAGATAATCTGCTCTGGCGATCATTAAAAATAAATGAGTGCATGCATGCCCTGGAAAGAAGGGGTTAGGGGTTAATAAGAACCAGGAATCGTAGGTTCAGATCCTGGGTGCAAACCTACTCCACTCATCAGCCATGCTGTGGAGGCATCCCACATATAAAGTGGAGGAAGATTGGCGCAGATGTTAGCTCAGGGCTAATCTTCCCCAAGTCAAAATAAAAAGAGGAAGTTTGGCTACGAATGTTAGCTCAGGGCGAATCTTCCTCACACACACACACACACACACAAAGAGCCAGGAAGAGAGACCCTAAGAAACCCCAATCATAGCCTGGAAGAATAAGGATGACCTGACCTTCCACCTTAAGAAACTAGAAAAAGATAAGCAAACCAAACCCAAATAATAAAATAAATAAATGAAATAGAAGCCAGAAAAACAACAGAGAAAATCAACAAAACCAAAAATCAGTTCTTTGCAGACAAATCTTTAACTAGACTGATCCAAAAAAGGAGAGAGAAGACTCAAATTATTAAAATCAGGAATGAAAGGGAGGACATTACTACCAATCTTACAAAAATAAAAAGGATTATAAGGGAATCTCGGAACAATTATACACCAATAAATTAAGCTAGATGAATTGGGATAAATTCCCAGAAAGACACAAACTACCAAAACTGACTCAAAAAGAAATAGAAAATCGGAATATGCCTATATAAGTAAAGTGATTGAATTAGTAATCAAAATATTTCCTACAAAGAAAAGCCCAGGACCAGATAGATGGCTTCACTGCTAAATTCTAACAAACATTTAAAGAATTAACATCAATCCTTCACAAACTCTTCCAAAAAATAGAAGAGGGAAGACTTCCCAACTCATTCTATGAGGCCAGCATTATCCTGATCCTGAAACTAGACAAAGATATCACAAGAAAACTACACATCAATATCCCTCATGAATATACACAAAAATCCTCAACAAAATACCAGCAAACTGCATCCAGCAACATATAAAAAGGAGTACGCAGCATCCACACCCTGGTCAGAGAGCCCCGCCCAAGTCAGCTACAGACAACACAGAGGCAGGTCTAAGATGCTGACCAGAGGGGCGCCGATGTTTCTGACCGAGGCCCAGATGGAGAGAAGGCAAAGCAAGCAGGGATGCTGATGCAATGGCTTCTCCAGTGGTGGCTGCCAGCTTGTAGAAAACATCTCTGTGAACATCGTTCCTTCCAAGTCAGCCCCTCTACAGGAGACTGTCAACATTCCAGCTCCCTCTCTATCAAGGGTCCTTTCCACCCGTTCAGCACTGGCCCCCCCATCTGTGGTATCTGCTTCAAGAGACAAGCGTGTTGTCCACCCAGGCAGCGGGAAAAGTGAGAGCTGCTGTTTGCCCATCTTGCAGCCTGCCTGGCTACAAAATAGCAGAGAAGGAAAAAAATGGCTATACAAATCCCCAGGGTAATGAAGTGAACTGATTGTTTATTACTTTACTATGCTTAAAGACCTTTCTCCAAGAAAGTCAAGAGGGTTTCAAGAACGCAGTCTGCCTGCCTTCCATGCATCTGCCCTACACACACACACACACACACACACACACACGTGCACGTACACAGCTCTGTGCCGTTGGAGACTCAGACGTATTTGTGGTAAAATACCCCACCCCTGCTGCTTAAAAATAAAAGAAGCGAAACGAATGCTCTCTTTGAGAAGACTCTGGTGCTCTTATTTAGACAAACTTTTTTCTTTAAGCCGTTTTTGCAAACACCCACCACCCTTTGCACCATCATAAAAGCCCTTTTCAAGCCAAGAAGTGCTTACAAAGAGCCGCTTCTCAACGTCTGCGCTCGGTTTCCTCGGCATTAGGTCACCGTCCCTGTGTTTTAGCTAAACAAGCCTCGCGTTTCTCCCTGCTCTCTGGTTTCCTGAGTCCCCCGCTCTGATGAAGCAGCCCCCTCATTCGTATTCTCCTCCTCAGAGGGCCCGTCCACACCGGGCTGTCAGCCTCCGGTTAAGGCCAGAAGGCTGTCAATGCCTAGAGTGCCAGCTCATCTGAGAAGTGCCTGCTTCTAGGAAAGTCCTTGACACAAGCAAAATGTCCCCTCTTCAGTGCAAAAGCACTGCAGGGACGGGGCCACTGGCTGCCACCTGGGCTCCCACCACCGTCGGGCACTCCGCTCCCTAGAATGGGCAGCCAGAACAGTCCCAGCGCAGGTCCGCCTCCCTGGTCCAGTCAGGACTCGCTGAGGCAGAGTCTGGCAGAGGAAGGAGCACTGGACCAAGAGGCAGGGCTGGACATGGGCCCGGCTCTGCCTCTGAGTCCCTCTCAGAGCCTGGTCTGCCCATCTGTAAAAGGGGGCAGTTCCCCCAGCTTGCCTCTCAGCAGGGCAAATGAGGGCATGGACGGGGAGATGGTGGCCAACAGCACGGCAGGGGAAGAGCTCCGGCCCGAGGTGGCCTCAGGGCACAGCCCCCCTGCCCCGGCGGCCCAGCTCACCTGTCCGAACACGTACAGCAGTCCCACCGTGCCTCCGGTCTGCCCCCCGAGCGCCGAGGAGATCATGGAGTAGACACCGCCACTGCCCACGCCGCAATGCTCTCCGACCCCGATGCCAGACAGCACGGTGACGAGGGCCACCAGGATGACGACGGAGACCAGAAACACGCCCACGAGGACGCCCGTGTTGCCCTGCGGTGGAATAGGAAGGAGCAAGGTCAGCGGTTAGGATAAGGAGCCCTGGTCAGGTGCGGCCCCTCCAGGGAGTAGTGACCACCTCCCCCCACACCCCCAGGGTAGCAACTGGGGGAAGACTGGGAAGCTGGGCCGCAAAGGTGGGGCCACTGGAAAAGGACAAAGGCAGCATCACAAGAATACGGCCTGGAAGAAATTCCACATGAAGGGAAATGCCCTTGCTCCAAACTCTTCAATGACTTCCCATCACCCATGGGGTAAAGGCAAAGTCTCTTAATACATCCATGAGGCTCCTCCTAATCTGACCCCTGGCCACCCCGCCCCCCCAGTCCCTTTCATCCCTCTGCGCATAAGCCCCCAGTACCCCTGCTCGTGGCCCAGGTGAAGGCACCTGGTGTGTCCTATCCCGTCCCCCAAGTGCTGACCCCTGCTCATTCCACTTCCTGGCCAGGTTCACTCCAAAGCATCCTTTAAGACCATGTTTAGGAGATTCCGCCACCAGGCAGCTGGCCCTGTGACCCCTCCTCAGGGCTCCTACAGTACCCAGGGCTTAGTCCTTATCACAGTACTTATCATACTGAGTCTGTTTCCAAGCCCCTCTTCACTCTGGGCTGTGAGCTCCAAGAGAGCATGATTATGTTTTATTAGGACAGTTACTCATTTTGCTGATTTTATATTTTTAAGGAAATTACAGAATGACTATTTTCTTCCTTTGTTTGTGCTTTTAAATTGTCTGCATGTGATAATAAAATATCCTGTGCCAATCTTTAAGTTTTCATACCAAAACCACCACTTTAACATTTTCCAAACATAAGTATGCTGCCAAATTATTCTTTAGAGTTAATATTGTCTATTTAAAAATGATTTTGGCATGACCTCTACTTATTTTTGTTTTATGCCATCTCCTAGAAGGTCTATCTTATTTTTGGCATTTCACATTCACCTTTTTTTCATGATCAAATATGATTTTTCAGGTAAAACTAATGTCAGAACTGAAAAGTAGAGATCCTTTTAGGGCAAAAGGATGTGTTTGTGTGGTAAGCTGCCTCAGAGGTGGCCCCAGGGATCCCCACCTCCTGGCATTTGTGCCCTTGTGTAATCTCCTCCCTTTGAGTGGGGTCTGGACCAACTCACTCATTTTTAATGAGCGGAATACTGCAGAAGTGATGGGCTGTCACTTCTGAAATGAGGATCTAAAAAGACTGTGGCTTTCATCTTGCACGCTGGCCCTGGGGGAAGCCAGCTGCATGTAATGAGGCAACCCTATGAAGAGGCCACGTGACAAGGCCTGACAACAACTACACAAGTGATCTCGGAAACAGCTCCTCCCCTGGCAGAGTCTTCAGATGAGACTGCAGCCCTGACTGACAGCTTGACCGCAGCCCCATGAGAGACCTCGAGCCAGAGGCACCCAGGTAAGTTGCGCCCAGATCCCTGAACCAGAGTAACTACAAGGTAATACATATTTGTTGCTTTAAGCTGCTAAGTGTAGGGGTAATTTGTTATGCAGCAATAGATAACTAATACAACTTGTACTTTCACTTTGGATACTTCTGGATAGCCATTTCTCAAAAAAAAAATCACCCAGTGGAAGGGTTAAAAGGAGGCCCTTAAAGACTTAAGAATCAAAACAGAAAGAGCCTGCCCTTCTCTCCTCCCAACATCCCATAACCATCCACTGCATGAAGCAGAGCCCAGGGACCCAGGCAGTCAGCGGCCAGGCTTTCCTCTGCCACCGTGATCAGGTTGATGGGTCTCCCTTGGAGACGGGCTGGAGAAGTGCTGGGCAGTGAGGTGGCTCCCAGGAAGGGGAAAATCAGAGGCCAATCCCAGGAGCCAGAGACTGCCTTCCAGGACGAGGAGGCTGAGCTGGAGGCTTTGTGCTTTTGTAAGTGGGAGCCCTGCACGTCTGGGAGGGGTGTGAGAGGCAGGAGTTCTTAGCATCTGCATCAGAGAGGTTGCTAACTCTGCTATAAGCTTTCCACACATTAATAAAGGAAAATATCAGACCCGCTGTGGCTATGGCTAAGGCTGATCCCTGAGCTAAGGGCCTGGATATGGAGTAGAGCAAGAGCTTAGGAAGGTCTGGCATCACCCAGGCCTCTGGAGGGGACTAAGAACCCCATATGCCCCACCACAGTGAAGCTATAGTCCCTTGGAAATTGCATATGCGATGGTTAATTTTATGTGTCAACTTGGCTAGACTACAGTGACCAGTTGTTTAGTCAAACCCTAGTCTAGAAGTTGCTGTAACTGTATTTTTTAGATGTGATTCACATTTGCAATCAGTTGACCTTAAGAAAGGGAGATTACTCTCCATAAGGTGGGTGGGCCTCATCCAATCAGTTGAAAGCCTTAAGAGCAAAGACGGAGGCTTCCGAAAGAAGGAATTCGGTCTCCAGACTACAGCTCAGAAATTCTGCCTGAGTTTCCAGCCTTTGGACTGAAAAGTGCTACATCAATTCTTACCAGCATCTCGCTTATCCCATAGATTTTGGACTTGCCAGCCCCCATAATCACATGAGCCAATCCCTTAAAATAAATACACACACACCTCTCTCTCTCTCTCTGCCCTCTGTGGGATAATAGAAAATATATATTAGTCTCTATCCCAGGTTCCTGGCACAGAGCTCTTGAAACCCTTGTAATTTCCTAAATGACAAGAACACTAGGAGCATCTTTTGTCCTATTTAGGCAACTCTGGGACGGCATCTGGATGGGGGCCGGTCACCAGCAAGACCAAGCCATGATGAGAAGCTTGGAATTTTCAGCACTCCTCCTTCCACTCCTTTAGAGAGGGGAGGGGACTAGAAATGGAGTTAATAATTGATAATGTCAACATGAGGAAGCTTCCATAAAATCCCCAAAGTACAGGGTTCATAGAACTTCCAGGGGGTAAACACTCCCAAATACCAGGAGGGTGACGCACCCCTACTCCATGGGGCAGAAGCTCAGCTCCTGTGCTCGGGACCCTCCCAGATCTCGCCCCGTGTATCTCCTCATCTGGCTGTTCACCTGTACCCTTCATCATAACCTCTAATAAACTGGTAAACCTAAGTGTTTCCCTAAGTTCTGTGAGCTGCTCTAGCAAATTAATCGAACCTGAGGAGGGGGTCCTGGGAACCTCTGATCTACAGCCAGTTGGTCAGAAGCTCAGGTGACAACCTGGACTTGTGACCAGCATCTGAAGTGGGGTGGGGGGGACAGTCTTGTAGGACTGAGACCTCAAGCTGTGGAATCTGATGCTATCTCCAGGTGGACAGAGTTAGAATTGAGTTAAATTGGAACACCCAGCTGGTGTCACAGAACTGCTTGGTGTAGGGAAAAAAATCACACATCTGGTGACAGAAGTGTCAGATGCGAAGTGTTCTCTGTGTGAAAGTAAAGGAGAAAGACAGGAGGAGGACCTGGGTTTTTCCAGTATCCTCTCCCTCTGCCTCCCCGTCTCCCTCTCCCTCAACAGCCTGTCTGGTTCACTGAAAGCTCTGTGTGAAGGCTGAGAAGGTCGCTCAGGACACACATCTGTCTGGAAGGTCCCAGGAAGCTTTCACATAAGACAAAGAGGCCCTGGCTCCTCCCTGCACGGAGGAAGACAAACTGACCCCCATGATCTCGTGCGCGAGGGTCTGCCCCAGGGAATGGCCCTGAGCGGTAGGCAGTCTGCGCCTCTGACCACCTTCCCCCGTGCACAGCCTTACACACAGGGTCCGGGCATAGGGCGGGAAGGCAACCATGTGGGTGAGGAGCTGGTGTCTCCAGGAGGCACCAGATGAGTTGAAGAATACCAGGAAAGCTGGAGAGGGTCTCAAACTGGAGGCAAACTCGCCATCACTCTGCTCTCTCTGACTCACCTCTAGCCCCACCCATGATGGGCCCTGACTTCTGTGCTCACATTTCTGTGGTTAAATCCACGGTGAGGCTTCCATTGGAACCTCTGTCTGAGGCCCAGGTTCTCAGGATTCTCATTGAAAAAGCAACGCTAGCTGCTCAATGTACTTCATCTCATTTCATGGTTCTGGAGCATCTGTGCTTCAGGAGTCTATCGCCTGCACTGAGGAATGCCCAAGAGTGACGGAGCTTTCCACGTTACAGGCCCACAAGAGGCTCCAGGGCCACCAGCTCATCACTCACCACCAGCCAGCCAGTCCTCAAGAAAAGGACAACCCCAAAAATGTTGATCATGCAGGACGTGAACACACCATCCCAGGTCCCGAACAGCACTGGCTCCCATACGAACAGCTGGCTCTTCCACCAGGGCTGGGGCTGGGCCAGGGCCCCCTGAAAACAGAGCACACAGAAGTCAGCTCAGCAGCATTCAGGAGGGTCAGCAAGGGGAGAGCGGGGGAAGTGGACAGGGGGAGCGGGGAGAACTCAGCTTTAAACTGCGCCATCCCATGTGCCAGGGCAGGCGTGTGTGCACACACACGGTCCTGAAGACTGAGTCTGCAAAAGGGTCTCTGCTCTCTCCAGCAGCAGTGACTCCCGTACCAGAGGAATGTCGCAGAGACTGGCTGTTCAGCTGGCCATTCAGTGGTCTACGTTTTCCAGCCTCTTTACAGGTGGATGTGGCCACGGGACTGAGTTCCGGCCACTGGAATGTAGGTAGAGGGTCTGTATGTCACTTGTGGGTGAGTGCCTGAGGGATCCTGGGTTCCAGCTCAGGCCATGGTCACGAGCTCTGGGTAATGCCGTTTTCCGTTTCAGTCCTCCAGTCCTAGAGGGGACAGCAGCTTCCAGCAGTTACTAATCTTGGGGTAACTTTACGCTTTTTGCTCCTCTGGGCCCTCTAATACTTCTGTAATGAATTCTGCGTATTAAATTCCCACATTTAAAGTACCTAGGGCGGTTTCTGTTTTCCTGACGGAACACTGGCTGATACGGTGATCTGAAGGCCCCTTCCACTCCATACCCAGGATTCTACGGCATCCTTTTGCAGTTGTCTCGAATCAGAGGCTAATAAGTGGTTAAACAGAGGCCTCCCTCATTTTTCCAAATCAAAAATAACAAAGGCACTTATGGAATGCTCAAATGGAAACGCTTTACTAAAAAGACTAAACCTGTGGAAATACTAAAATGATCTTAAACAAAACCAGTAGCAGCTCATGCTGTGAACTGCTCTTGCACAGGCTTGGTAATTAATCTAAATTCAGACATCAGAAGAGTCTTCCACTGCCTTCAAAGTACCACAGCAGTGACTAATGAATCTCAGCTGGGCGGGAGGAAGGGGGAGGCGCCCAACTCAGAACCACCGTGGGCAGTGAGTCTAACTGGTGTGTGTACGTGATCTATAAACACAGCGAGAAGGCAGAAAAATCAAGAGGACAGGAAAAAAAAATCTAAGGTCAGAGGCACAGGGGCATGGCTCCTGAACGGCTGAGAACAATGGACGCACCCATGATCCAGGACCAAGGGCCTCTGCCCTGGTCAAAACCAGGTCAGCTAGGCCTGGTCTAAACAACAGGAGGATCCCAGCTCCCCTTCTTCCCTCACATCATATACTCAGATCCAGAAAGGGCCTTGAGAAATCATCAGGGACGTCAACGAAACCAGCCAGATGGGCCAGGGGACTCTGTGGTGTCCCCCATCACTCCCTGACTCCTTTTATCTGTGTACATTTCTGTTTGCTTGTCTTTCACAAACCACAACTGAAGAATCCCCTGAAAGTCAGTAAATGTGAGAACGGTCATGGTGACTCAGAGCGAAGACCCTGCCAACCTCTGCTTGTCCTTGAACAAATGGTACCAAGGGACCTGTTTGGTGAACATAGGATTGTTTTCTAGGATCCTAATCTCAAAGTCAGGACATGGCACGACTTCCTGTCTCTGCTTGTGTTCAGCTTCCTACCATGGCTAGTTACAGGCGGATTATTTATTAGAAACAGTAGTAACAATAGCAACAATCAGCAACAGAGAGTAATAATGCTTCCACATCAGTTCCCTCCTTTGGTCCTCACAACACCCCTGGGAGGCAGGAGGGCGAGGGCCCATTCACGGGCGAGGAAAGAGAGGCTGGGAGGAGAGACACACGGCCCCGAGCCCCACAGTCGGGGTTTGAATCCCCCTCTCCAGACTGTAAAATCTGTGCTTTGCCCTCAGCCACAGGTTCCTTCTCTTTTCTTTTCTAAATTTCAATGTTTCGGCTTTCAATTTCTAACATCCTGGACTTTGCTTAACTGTGAAGACATCTGCCTTTACCCATACAACTCCGCTTATAATTTTAGAAACTGTATTCTTCTTTCACCCCAGCCTTCGTGTTTCCACTCTGAAGGCTGTTTCGCTTGTTTGTTTGTTTACCTAACGGTGTATGGAAAGCCTTTCACTCCCTGGATCTCACTGGACTAAATCAGCCAAAAAGGTGCTTCACAGATGAATGAGGTGGAAACTCTGGGAGACCCTGTACCCTGCGAATGAAGGTATAAAAGGTTGGAAACGGTGACCGAGCCATGACAGCTTATTTCGGGATGTCTATGGGAGCGTGCCTACCTTTTTTTACCAAGTGACAAAAGACCGTAACTAAGTGTCCCCAGAGTCTGCTCTTCAGAGGCTGGAGGAGGAGCCTGAGTTTGACTCCTTGGTTGCAACCCTGATGTTCTTAGAGAGAGACCGACTAAGCCCAGTGAGAGAGAGAGAAGGAAGAAGAAACAAAAGCACAGAAAAAGGGAAAGAGGATGAGACAGAGAACGCTAGAATAAAATGCCAAATAGGGAATCTAGAGCTCGCAGGGGATATTTCCGGGCCTCCCTGCACTGACCGGCTGCCCCAGGCATCAACACAGAAGCGCCAGCTTGGGTGACCCGTTCTTTCACCTCTCCCTCCTCCACCACGTCCTCCAGCCTCACTACTTAAGGATGCCCCTCAGCCTTTTACTACTGCCCCAGAGTTGACCTTTTAGGAGAGTACTGGCTAGACAATTCAAACCAGCTACCTCCTATAGTGACTACTTGGCCCATGGATGGTCCGATTCTGATACCAATTCCAGCATGTGGAGGTTTTCCCTACACCAAGCAATTCTCCAACACCAGCTGGAGATCCTACAATTCTAACACTATCTACCCGGAGACAGCGTCAGATCCCACAATTAAGGCCTCAGTCCTGTAAGACTGCCCACCCACTTCAGACACCAATTGCAAGTCCAAGTTGCCACCCATGCTTCTGACCAATGGGCCATTGATCAGAGGTTCCCATGACCTCCTCCATGGGTTCGGCTAATTTGCTAGAGAGGCTCATAGAACTCCAGAAATCAGTTTACTCCCTAGATTACTGGTTTATTGTAAAAGGATATAATCTAGGAACAACCAGATGGAAGAGATACCTATGGGGAAGGGGCATGGAGGTTGCATACCCACTCCAGCCACTCTCCCAGGATCTCCATGTGTTCACCAACTCAGAAGCTCTCCGAATCCTCTCCTTTTTGGTTTTTTGGAGGCTTCATTTATGCAGGCATGACTAATTAAATCATTGGCCATTGGTGATTGACTCAACCTCCAGCCCCACTCCCCTCCCCTGTGAGTTCTAATCCTCTAATCAGATGGTCGGTTCCCCTGGCAACCACCCCCATCCTTAGGTGCTTTCCAAAAGTCACCTCATTAACATAAACCCAGTTGTGGTTGAAAGGGGTTTATCACTTAGGAAATTCCAAAGGTTTTAGGAGCTCTCTGCAAGGAACTGGGATGAAAACCAAGTATCTATTTCTTATTATAAATCCCAGTATCACGACTGGCTACTCTACAACCCTGCTCTTGCTTGGCCCTGCCGGCTCTCTCTAGTTCCCCTTGGCTCCTGCCCAGAGAGGCTGAGGGCAGAGCAGTGGGTCTGCAGCATAAGCAGACATCCAGGAGGAGGACAGAATATCAGCTTCTCCTCCACTTTCCCGGACCTCATACCCAACTCCCTCCTCTACAGGAGGGTGAGCAACCCCTCTCATCTCAGATACGCCCTCCTGCAAAGGCTGTGGCTCACAGTCCCCCTCTACACCTCTGCCCAGTCATTTCTGTCGCCAGAGGAGGGGGAGTGGAACGGCTGGGGTGAGCAGACATGATAGCTGGACCAGCTCTGGGCTATCTTTTTTAGCCCCAGGGGAGAGGTGGTCCCAACTGTTGACAACTCTCTTAGAACCTCATTGACCTCCGATTTGGGTCCCGGTCATCAATTCCAAAATAACAAGAGTCACATTCAACATTCTATGACATAGACACAGCAGGTTGTGCGGAAAGGGAGGTGACAATAGGACGTGTACTGTGCCAGGTCTGGAGTCTACTGGGAAGCAAGGTGGGGACTAAGAAATACGATAAAGAAGAGCGAGGAACGAAGCAGTCCCTCAGAATGGGCACCATACACGTGCTCAAGGCTAAGTTTCCTCTATTTCCTGAGCACCCTCAGCTTGGCAGGGACAACTTGGGAGGTCCCTGGTCCCTCTGAGCCCAGGGGACTGCAACCCACACTGGAAACACCATGGCTGCCCAGCAGGTGTTTTAGTACAGAGGTAGAAGTCTTGCTCCTGTGAATAGAGAATCTCTACTCTTGAGCATCTAGAAAGGTGGGGAAGTTGCACCCGAAACTTGCCCAGGGGAGGAAATGTTCACTTCCTACACCCAGCAAGCTGAGCTGAGGAAGAGAGAAGGGTTTTGCCCCAGGCAACGAGACAGGCTCACTCACGCCCAGGGGCCCTTGTCTCAAACATCCATCTACCTCCCACAGGCCACCTGCCAGGCCTTAAAGAACACTTCTGAGATGTGAGATGACACTTTTTCTCTCTTCTGGCTGCTGGAGGAAAAGAAGCCAGGTGAGAAACTCTGCTTCTGCCCACTCGGGTCGGGAGTGGGTCAAAGCAAGACATGGCCTGCCCCCTACTCCCAGACAAAGCGCAGCCAAGGAGGCTGCTCTGCCTGGAGGATACACACGTGAGCCGGCAGTTTGCTCTCTGAGAGCTAATTATTTAACTGTTAATTACACCTCAGAGAGTATCCCAAGCCGCTGCTGAACTGTGACCCACTGGGCAAAGTGGGCGCACATTGCTTTCCTCTGGCTCTGAACGGGCGCCTGGAGCTGGAGCCGGCATGGGGCCCAGCAGCGCCACGGGCTCCAGGGGCCAGAGCCCACCTGCGGTACCTGTATAAGATGCAGAGAGCTATATACCTGCATCGTGGGGTTTTTGGACAGTTTGGATGAAATGAGAATTGTAAAAGCTTTTTGTAAGCATGAAGCACAACACACAATTTTAAATACGAGTGAGGATTTCTTCAGGGAAATTGGGAGGAAAGGAAAGAAAAGAGGTCTTCT